CTAATACAAAACATTCCCCAGGGATGAGCAAACGTCACCGGATACCACGCAAAGGAGCAAAGCGACATCTGCAACAGTACCGAGAAGCAAAAGCAGCGACCTCTTACGATCTAACAACAAGAAAGAATCGTCGGACATCAAGATTTCTCGATTTAATAGCTTAAAGCAATGGGGAAAGAACCAGTACGACAAATTTTTAAATAAAAGCAACGAAAAGAACGAAAATGTTTCTACCAGTAGTGGCGGGGGAAGTAAAACGAAAGTTTCTTTATCGGAAGACGGAGTTGATGACTTTAATTTGTATGACACAGTTACAATGAAACGTAGAAGAGATATGGACAAGGAACGCAAAACTCACGAAAGAAATTCTTCTATATCCAGTTCAGAGAAATCTTTACCTGTTACTACTAGCACGCTCTCTTCGGTTATGAACATCGCTGTCAAATTAAGGGAGAGTTCATTGCAACGACGTCAAAGAAGAAACGGAACTAACAAAGACGAACCTCATTCTTCCAGTGGTAACTGGAGCGCAAGTTCGGAAAGCGGCCGTGCTTCCATTGGTTCCGAAATAACATCCACCACTCATCCAAAGAGTACTACATCTGCCGCAACTTCTAGCAATTCTCTTAATCTACATCCTCCAAGTTCCGTAAACTCACGACGCAGATTCAACTTCAACACTTCCACGTCGAGCAGCGTAACCAGCGAAGGTAGCACCTTAACTCCAGATATTATCCATGATTTACACGAAGACGGTGATTCGGTCTACTCTTGCGATACTGAGGGCTATTACACCTCCTTCCATATGGATAGTGGTCTAAAGACTCTGAAAGAAGAAGAACTTCCATCAACCCCGTTACAAAGCACTTCGGCGTTCTGTAATTCTGATTCGAACAATACTGTGATGTCGGCTGAAAATGAATACGAACTTTTCGGTAAAGGTAGTACGTCCACAACTACAAGTTCGGCTGGAACCGTATGTACTACCCTCAGGGCAGCTGAAAGTAATAGAAGTTTAGTTATAGGTCCAGCAGTGCCAGAAAGAAAGAGTTCTCTGTCGAAATTATCAAATAAATCAAGCAAGAGTCCTGAAAGCTCGCTGGGACGAGATTATGTAGATAAAACTGGTACTATAAAACGCAGTCCCGCTACCTCTCATACAAAACCAGCTATAGTAGGTCTAATTCAGAAAAAAGACAGCAGTGGGGATGTTTCTCCAGACAGTGGACACAATACCTCGAGTTCGCCTATTGAGAGTGTTTCTAGTCCCAACGGTATTCGTAGCGGTTCAGATTTCGAGTTTTCCGAAAGCTCTGATATGGAAGGGCCGGAAAGAACTGAAAGAATCAGAGTAAAGACTACCATAAACTCAAGTAGGATACCGTCGATGTGCGCTATAACTCCTCCTCACAGCGATGATGAAAGCTCAAGTAACTCATCCTACAAGAAACATATCGAGGCTAACAATTTAAGAAATAGTTTAGAAAACGAGAAGGAACTCGATAAAGAAAATGGAAACATAAATATAAATCAAAGAATTATAAGTACAAATGTAAACGGTACACAAAAATTGTCATTAGTCAATGTAAATACTCAATCAGGATATGCTACAGTAGAAAATCTGGACGAAGGTGTAACAGCCTCGCAAATTAAGGTTTCTGCTACCACAATTAGAGCTCCGTCTCCTAGTGGAGGTAGCGTAATAGTAAAATCAGAAACTGACAGTGTTACAAAGACTTCGTCCCAGCCTTTGATCAAGTCCAGTTTACTACCTTTAAACAACATGTTTGGAAGAATTAAATCAAATCTAACTAGCTTAGGTCTGAGCAGGCGAGATAGAAGCAAAAGTCCAAATAATGTTAAAACTGAACCCGTTTCTGATTCTATGGACGAGTATGTTACTTTAGCAGACGTACGAAATAATAACGAGAAGTATTCCGTTGAGGAAATTACCTATGCTAATGACGCAGTGAACAAAAATTTAAACACAGTATTAAGCGGAAAAGTAAGAGACGCCGAGTATGTGTCTCTTAACGAGCTACCCAACAGTGATAATAATAACGCAATGATGGGAGCAGATTCGTCATTGGAAAGAAAAAAGAGACAAGGTGCCAGAGTAATGCTAGATGCTGAAGGAAAAGTAGTATACAGCTCTGACAGTTTAAGAAGACGTAAACCTCCTAGCACCTTTGAACCGGGACCTTTTGTGAAACTCTCCACTCAAGCCAGTCCCAGATCCAGCCCTCAGATGCACAGAACACTCAAAAACATCCGTCCGATAGCTTCCAGCCAGGACCAGATGAAGCTGAACGTTCCTCAAGCTGAATTTTACCGTCCGATGTCGCCTACCTCAGGAAACAAAGTCATTATTAAGGCTTCGGGCAATCCGCCCGAGGTAATCCGATCTCCGTCCACCGTGGTTCAACCTGCCAGTCCCAAAATGAGACCCTTGAGCCCGAAGGGTGCCTACGTTCACGTGCAAGCACCCGGAGGTCCACTGTCGCCGAAAGAACCCAGAGGTAAGACCAATCGCACCTTGTTACCGAATAAAGTTAATGTAAATAGTTTTAAGAAGGGCAACAGCGTCACTGCCGTGGGTAAAAATTTCAATTCTCTCGGGAAACATAACAATAATTTTAACAATAACAAGTCGGATAATAATGTTAGTGGTACAGACAGAGCTATAAAGAGACGAGAAAGTTACCGGTTGGCTAATTCCGCAATAGTAACACCTAAGAAAATTTTGAATTACGAAAAAAATACGTCTAAAACTATGTCTGACAGCGATCAAGACAGTTTCGAACGTGAGCTGGAAGAGGAATTGCTAAAACAGGAGATCAATTATCCCTCGTCGGTTTCTCCTGTATTGTCTCCGAAATTATGCACCAAGCATGTTTTTTATAACCAAGAACACGCACAAAAATTGCTATTGTGCTCTCCTAAACCCGTTTCTATACCCAGGGCTAATGATGAGAAATGTTTAAGGATTCTAAACGCCTCTGTTACAGATACCGAAATCTGGTAGTAGTTTGGTGATTATGTTCTGTATCACATAGATGTTGAACAGTGAAGCTGAAACTCTATGCTTCAAATATCCAGCTTTCTCTCACACAGTTCAAAAACAATGACTCAAAAAAAATCAATTTTTGATATTATTATCAACACGCTGGCATACTATTTTTTGATTATAAAAACAAAAATATGCCATTATATTTCAATCAGTATTATTTATTATCTTAGTATTTTTTTATTGTTTAGGTAAATTTGTAATAAATATGCAATTGAATAATTTGAATTAAGAGGAGTTTAAAAATTTATATTGATAGGAATAAATGAAATATTTATATACATATAAAAAGTGAAATATTTTAGCATCTGAAACAACTTACATTTATGGTGGATTAATTGGAGAGGGGAGGCTCCTAAGGGCTCTACGGTCAAGTTATTGCTTTACTTGACTCAATATGGAGGAAATATTTAAAAAATAATAATAATAAAATAATAAATCACAAAATTGTCGTTTTTGGATTCCAAAGTGAATTGCATTTTAAAAAATAACTTTAAAAACTATTTTCCGATCCAAATCAATTTGTAATTAATATTCATAAATTTATTATAATGATTATTTATGTATAAACTGTTATTTCGGTTTCAATGGTATGCTTAATGTATAGTGTATAGTTTCAGAAACTCGGCCGAGTTATTTTTAGAAGCTGCTGAAAGAGCTTTATAGTCAATGAAATTAGTATCTTGATTTGTACCAGTTCTGGACAAATAATAACGTTAAGTAGTATTCTGGGAGCAAAAAAAGGAATAAAGACTTTTAATGGGCACATCTTTATTTTATTTTTATATAAAATATGTATGTTTTGCTTTTTTCTAAAATAATCCAATAATAAAATATCCAAGTTTATTCTGTCGCGGACTTAAAAAAATACGGTTTATCTTTGAATACTCGTATGTTTATATTTTATATTTATATTTAAAATATAAAAACAAAATAGGATTGGAAACAAATTAATTTAAAAATGAGTTAAGACTTTTACAGAAATATAATAATTGTATTATTCTAATGCATTTATTTTCTTTTAGTATAACTTTTATAGGAAAAAAAGATAATGAATTATTCTTCTTGAAATAAAATATATTTAATTCCAAACATGAACTGTTTAAAAATGAGATAAAGTTACATTAGAAATACCGTTTGATGTCATATCCTCAGCGATTTAATATGTGAAGATCCAGTGTTATTGTTACGGATTCCGTAGGTCCACTAATTTAAACTCACGATAAAATACTTAACGAATTTATTTTTCTCATTATATACACCATTTACACACAACTTTGCAACTAACAATACAACTGGTTTTTAACTCTAACTGTTTTTTAGACACCCTCGCCAATTAGTCCACAATTCGCTATTACAGAGCACTATTCGAAAAATAACAAAAGCTTCATTCAGAACCTCGCAATTAGTGGAATAAATTGGTGGTTTTAATTAAACTTTATACATTTTAGTTTACGATCATTCACAATGTCTAAAAAACACAATTAAAATTAATAGAATATCCTAACAACAGTTTGATGTAGTCAGTTGTATCCATAGGCCATAGAGAAAGCCTAATATTTAGCTTATTAAACAAAAAACTTTTGAGTTCTAAACACAATGTCTCAAGAGAAATCCGTCACGACGGATGATAATAAAAAACCAAAAAAAAAAGTGACGTTCCAAGTATAATTAGTGGAAAAATTGAAAGTTTGTTAACTTTTTCTATTAATTGAAAATTACTTCCACTAATTTTGATCTTCTGAATGCTTACATTGATATTAGAAGAACAAACTTCTACACTAATTGCGATGTTGTGAATGACACTTAACTGCCGTGCGCGGGGTGCGCTTTATATATCGCTGCGGATCTTCCTGAAAGTTCTATTCTAGAATTCTGTCGTATTTCATTTTGTTTCTCGAAATTTCTGTTAATGGTTTGAAATTACAGAACTCGCTTCTCTCCTACCTTGTCCACTTCCCGCAGATGTCGCCATACACCTTGACATTACGTTGGGTTTGCAAAGTTTTAAAAAAATGAAAATGTCGGCTTATGGCGTTTTCAGATGGAGCGGAGCGTCCGCGAGAGTTTATATGAACGATTTCACATGCGTCGCGTTTGCTCCGTCCGTGGATGAGATATATTGAAAAAACATCCGCGCGGACGTTCCGCGCGTATGATCCGCTCCATCTGAAAGCACTGTTAGTGAGTTTTTGTAGTAAACCGATAATATATTATTACAGCGTTTTCAGATGGAGCGGACCGTCCGCGACGGAGCGTCCGCGACTTCGATCAAGTACCATGAGTTTATATGAACAATTTCACATGGGCGCGTATGCTCCGTCCAACGGAGTTCGTCTGACGGCTATCTTGAAAAAACAGGACGGATGGTCCGTCGCGGACGGTCCACTCCATCTGAAAGCGCTGTTACCCTTTTTAAATGAAGATTGAATTGAAGAAATACTTGTTTAAAATACATCCAATTTCATATTAAAAGTACCATTTGCAAATATACAATAAAATTTTCACTTTGCTTTTCAAGTCATGGTAAAGAGGCGTTAATTTTCTATATTTCATAGAAAAATATTTTCCAAAGAACTAGGGTTCCCAACTTGAGCATCGGCGATTCCGGGACAATTATTTTTAAGTTTTTAAATAATTGAAACAAAACATTAAATATTAGAAATTCAAATATATCATATGTAAATGTGATTTTTTTGGTCCCGGCCAAGGCGAAATTTTCGCCGGGACAAACTTTCTGATTCCTGGTTAATCCCGGTTAAGCCGGGATGGTTGGGAACCCTACAAAGAACTCTTAAAATGATGTTAAGAATTGAATTTGAAAAATCAATATGTAGCATATTAACTATTTTGATATTATTTATATTTTAATTACAATAACGACACACTATAGATCTATTCCTAATAATAATAATATTTATATTTAAAACTTTTGTTTCAATTTTAAGTTAAAATTATTTAGCGTCTAAAAATTCATTAAAGTTCCACTAGTTTACCACGACCGATACACCAAAAAAAACTTTGCTTTAACTTATGATGCGTTGAAGAAAAATTAAAAAAAAAAGTTGTCTAGTAGTTCTCTTATTTCCTCTTCCGGTTATCGAACGCAGAGAAAGAAGTAGGTGTAAAGATCTAAATAACTTTGTTACGGTCCTGCGGAAAGCACGTGCGACTCTACGCATTCCCGGAAATCAATGATATCACCATCCTCAGTTTCCCGTAAGCGCGTCAAAATCTCCCGTATTACGCTGAATTCTAAACCTCAAATTTCTGCTTATTTATACATTATTTTAATGAAATAATTTAAATGAAATGAATAGTATTATATCTAAAACACAGTACAATTTATTTTAGTGAAGTTTACACCTCCTCCAGTATAAAGAAGCTCGTGTTGAAAAAATATTCATATAAAATATACATATATCTGTGACTCCTTCCCCTACAAAATAGGTAAAGAAATATTTTTATTTTAATTTAACAATACGAGTTAGAATAATTATATATTTCATATTTACTTAAATATGACAATCAAAAAATATTGATTGGATGAACTTCTCTGATCAAAAAACTTATTTATTTTTACTTAAATCAATCGAATTTATTCTTAAGTTACCTGCTATTGAAAAATAACTTTCTTGTTTCTTTAGGCTGTTTGTTAAGCTACCAAACAGTTGTAAATATAATCTTAAAAGCTTTAATTCCAAAACAAAAAAGCAGTATTCTAAAAACATTAAGACACCCTAATTAACAATAAAATTTTATATTGGTTCTTGGATATCTTTTTCATACATTAAACAAGGTGATTGGTTAAAATGGAATAAACATACACATGTCTGTCACAAAATGCTATCTAGTATAGGTTAATAAACTCATTTAACAGAAAGTTTTAAATGATTATAAAAAACAAAAATTAATAATACAACAGTATTTAAAAAAATATATTACTGTTAAATGTGTTTGAAAGTCTATATTAGATATGCCCACTTTCACAAAGTTTGCTTCTTTATTGTGCAATATATTGTTTTATTCTTTATATTGCTGAATTATATTTAGAATTATTTATTGTAGTTCAAAATATTTTTTTTATTTATTTTTTTAGTCTTCCATGTCGAATGTATGTTTAATAATTTTAAAATAATATTAGAAATATTAGAAAACATAAAGATGCATTATTATTATTGTATGGTTTGATGAGACCGATTTTTGTTTAGATGTAAATATTGTCATTTGTATTTGTATATAACATTGTTTTATTTTTGATTTTGCATGGATGTGTTCCATAAGCTTTGTTTTTTTTGACAGATTTTTGTGTGATGACGATTTTTTCGCATTTTTGCATTCATAGCTTTAGCATGGATTATTTTACACATTATTTAATATTTATATGTTTTATTGTATCATTTAATAAATAAACTCTTTTTTTGAAAATCTCTCTTTAACTTTAACATCTTTTTGTGCTAACATACTAAGTCTAAAGTCGAAACTGAAAACAGTGAATATATATACAGGGTGACCCAGTGTTTCAAATAAGTTCCATATCAGGCCTACTATTGCAAATCTTCACTCCAGTCTTTTTTGCACAATATTCGGATAATAATTAGTGAACCAAATTTAAAAAAAAATATATTTTTGTTGTATGTGTGCGTCTTAAAAGTGGCTCACCCCTATAACTTTTTTATTTTTTCAGCTCAAACGAGATTTGGTATGTTAGTATATGACATAAATTAGAATTGATTGACGTATTCGTTTTTGGTCACTTCCTGTTTCACCGGAAATGACTACGACTTTTGTTTTTTAAATCACACCCTGGGTCTATTTTTACTTCATTCAATAGAAAATGACACTCTGAATAGAATGACATATGATATGTCTACTTTTGACATTTTCGCATATGGTTTATTTGAAATTGTAACATGCGGTTCATAACGATAATTTGACTCGAGATCCCAAGTGTGTGGTACCAAATTATTCGTATAAAAATGCTTTTTCCACATATGCTAATGAGCCACCCTTGTTGAAAATAATTTGAAAAAATTGAGATAGGATTAAAAATACGATTTGGGCATCTTTTAACCGACCAGGCCAAGACACGAGAAACATTAGATGATCAAATCTATATTTCCAAGGCTCCTTGATTCTTGATTATAAAACACAGCCATAGCACTCTAGATTGAAATTTAAAATGCGATTTTTTTGTAAGTGAAAATGTCAAAACTTCACATATGATATATCAATCTCTTCAGAGTGTCATTTTCTATCAAATGAAGTAAAAATATACCGAGGGTGCCATTTAAAACTCATAAGTAGTAGTCATTTCCGGTGAAACAAGAAGTGACCAAAAATAATTGAATACGTCAATCAATCCTAATTTATTTCATATACTAATATACCAAATCTGTTTTTTATCTAAAAAAATAAAAAAGTTATGGGTGAACCACTTTTGAGACGCACCCGGTATATAGAGGGTGATTTAAATGTATTTTACACTACAGCTGGAGTTTTTTTTTAATTATAGCTTGTATTTTTCACTTAGCAGATTTATAATAATATTTCTTTTCCATAAATATTATAATGTGGCTACCGAGTGGTTCTTTAAAAATATGACTATTTTTATATTAAATTTTCTACATGTTTAAAAGCTCCTTCAAAGGTCAGAAAATTGCTAAATATTTACAATTTTTAACTGAAATTAACGTTGCTATAGTGTCTTCTTCATAACTAATTTTATATTAAAATAGGTCGAACCACCTGGTATATACAGGATGAGTCAAAACAAGATGTGTGATTTTCTCTGATATTTCAAATTGATTATCCCTATCTACAACAAAATATTTTTTAAATGCCTGCTACGTTTTATATATGAGTTTATTATAAAGAATGGGTGTGAAAATAATAAATAGCAAACCTAATACGGAACTTTTCCGGAACTTTCATGCGCCCTGTATAATAATACATATGTATTAATGTAAGTGAAGTACGATAACCTAGATATTTATCTACAAACCTATTGTCTAACTACGATGACACACATAAATACCGATGGAATCTACAAATAATAATATTTTTAACAATTTAACACAATTCTATTTTAAAAATAATTTCCCATGGGCCTATAACTTTAAACGATTCCTAATAATTCTATACCACGATGGCTCGGGACTCATACCATTTATCTTCAGGGCATATTGGTAAGCTTGATATGCACTCACATTTCGGGTATGCTATTTGCACTTTTGCTGTTTGGGGGTGATATGTCAAATTTTTGCATGTTCAGAGGCACACAACCAGTCACAACCGACATAGTCATTACATAGTGTTTTGAAAAGGTGAGCTATATACATTTGTGTTTATTTTTCTTTTATCAGTTTTTTGTCTGTGAGCATGATTTTGGTTTATTCTAAATGTTGCATGTATGTAATAAGTGTACAATATTTATCAGGATGTAACAGAATTTTGAATACATATATTCATTCAATTACAACATTCATAGTACATAGTTTGAATGAAAAAATAATAATAAATCAGTCAGAACATTTTTGTTAATAAATTTTTGCACCATAATTCCATATTTTTTCGATTTTATATCTTGAAAAACTCATTTATTTAAAAATTACAATATAATTCTTAATATAAATCACAAACTTAATAGATATTTGTATCTATAATTTTTAAACCAAACCCCCCCCCAGTCCACATTTTAAGTACCTACTAGTGATGTAACAAATATTGACATTCGCATTCGCGAATGTTCGTATATTTTTTGATATTCGAATTCACATTTGCAAAATTTATGCTAATATCAACTTTGAAAAAATATATAAAATATAAATAGCATCAGTTTTATTTGTCTTCTAACTGAAAGTACTTAATCATTTTGTTTATAAAACTATAAATATTAGTAAACAAAGAACCCAAATTCTTCTTTTAAGACACAATAAGCGCCAATTTCATAATTTTAGAGTTTTATATATTATAGTATGTCTAACTTTTTATTCTTAATCTAAGGATCTGACTGGTCCCCACATAATAAACTCTGCAGGGAAAAATATACACACAGGGAAAGAACCTGATAACCGTCAGCCGTCCAGGGTTCTGCTGTAAAATTAGTAAAATGGCAGTTATCATGTTTTTCTCTTGGACCCTTCACAGATTTTTGACAAAATAATACATTTAACATATATCATCTAAGATAATATTCTGTAAGAATTTTATCATTTTTTTAAACAACTAATTATTATCTTTTATATCTTAAAAATACTACATAATAACAAACAATATTCCACAATAAAACTCATCTTTTAGAAGACAATTAAAAAACGTTCGTTTTATTTTTAACGTGGGTCCTCTAATTTCAACTCAGGATAAAACACTTAACGAATTTATTTTCTCACTATATACATACACACAATTTAACTAATTAAATACAACACAAACACCTATTTGATAATCCTTCGCCAATTTGTCACAATTCGCTATTTGTAGAACGCTATTCAAAAACTAAGTTAAACTGTCGAGCGCAGGGAGCGCCTTATATACTGTAGCGGCTGATCCGAGAACTTTGCCAATCCGCCAGGCTTCTTGGCAATGTAAACATGCTTCGTGGTTTTACGCTCTTCCGGCAGATGTCGCCACATACATCTTGACAATATTTCTTAACATCAAATTAATATTCACATTTGCAAATTCAACATTAATATTCGTTACATCGCTAGTACTTACTGCAACGACAATTTCTGTTTTAATCAAATACTTATCTTGCACATTTCTCATTTTCACTTCCTTCTTATGTTCATTGAAATATCTTAAATAGGTACTCGAAATATTACTATTTAAATTTGTAATAAACGAATATAAATATAAATTGTTTATTGCAGTACAAATTTTAAATCTCTTACAATTATACAATTCTAAAAGTTATAAAAACTAATGGTAACTACTTTTTTTTCTAACAAACGATTATCTCTTACAGAAGGCGTCACACCTCCCATATCATCTTCAACAAGTCCCACACTTGGTCGTTACCAAACCCAAGAAGAAATGTTCAGCTACGCTAACAACGAGGCCTATTACGCTTCACCTCAGAGTTATTATCAAGGTGGTAATTTTTACTCAACATTACCAACTAAGAAAACCCAATATTTCGCCTGCGAAATACCCCAAGAACGAAGCGTGACGCCTGATATAACTAGAGGCCTAGAAAGAGGAAACAGTTCATTTTCCCATGGCAGTACCTTCAAAGATGACCAAAACTTAGTCTGCTACGGCCATCAGGTGGGGATACCTGTAGCACGAGAGTACAATGCGAGTCCTGTTTACAAGGATCAATATTCCTCTAGAATAGCGTCGTATAGTGATAGAGACGATTCACTCAAAATATCCCCCATTGATCCCATCCGACATTCTGGAGGTTTAAAAACGTCGACGCCGTCCCAATTGAAGGTCTCAAGTAATTTGGAAAGCAAATTATTATCTCCCAAACGTAGCGCCATGTCCAACGATGAATTATATGCAGTGATTCATAAAACCAAGAAGAAACTAAATATCGAAGACGACCTAAACAGAATGTCACCTTCGCTTGTTGCCCAAGTGGAACCTGAAACAAGTACACCAAAGAAAGTTAGTGTCGAAACTGGATACATCGGATCCAGACAAAGTTGGTCACCTTCGAAAGGAGAGTATATCGACTTCAATTCCGATATCGATAAATTCTCTCCCATAAATGAACCGAAGAATCGGCAAAGTTGGGCTTGCAGTGACAGAAAAGGCACTAAGAAAACTTCAACGCTGGATTTTAAAAGATTACTATTGCAAAAAAGCAGCTCTTTATCGGGAAATAAGAAAATGTCAGCCGTGGAACAACTCAAACTTTCCAAACAACAGATGCACCAGAAAGCGCCAAACGAGAATAATAAACCTTACAATAACACCGGCGATATGACTATTCTAGATTTAAGTGCCTCTCCTAGAAGTTTAGTAAATCGAAGACTATTAAGCAATCCTCCTAGCAGTCCAGAAAGATCAACTGTGAAACCGACGCCAAAAATTTTATCGCCCAGATCACAGTGGAGGTTCCTTAATCCACGAAGTGACGTTTTGTCTTCCACAATACTAGAGGATTGTAGGGAAGACGATTCTGGCAGTAACGCTTCGAAAAGTTCGTTGGAAAAAAGAAATGCGCAGAGTGTAAGAAGTTCCGTGGGGAGTCCGAAATTCACGCCAGAAGAACATTTGAGCAAACCTATAGATACAAAACAAATTCAAAGTTCCTTATGCCAAGATGTTGACAATAATTCAAGTAACACTAATACTAGTACTACTCGGTCTGAACCAAAACCTAATATAAAATATTCATCAGTAAGTGAACGGCTTTATGCTCAGAGAGCTCAATTTTTTGGAACTACCGTTTCGACTGAAAAAAAGGAAACTACACCTAAAGTACCTCCTACTTTAGAAACTGCCTTTTAGATTTTAATTTAGTTTTAGTACGATGTAAATACTTGAAAGCCACTTTGAAACAATTTAGAAATGAAGTGATAAAAGTGCAGCTGTTTGTATATTAATATTAATTTATTTTTTTATTGTATGAACTCGCATTGCGACTAAAAGCTGCATATAGTTTAGTCGAGACGCACTATTTCTTACTTCATAGTATTTTCTTTGGATAATATTAGTTTATTCGACTTTCGTTAAAGATACTTCACATTTCAACAAATATTTTTCTAGTCTTAGCCATTTTTATTAGTTTACTTAGGTATTCTTAATTTGTCTGTTTTAGCTATGTACAAAGTTTTAAAATATTCAGGTTATTTATAAACAAAAGAACTTAATATATTACATTTTTGTAAATAAATTGCGAATAAAAATGATATGAATATTTTTGAGTATTTTTTCAATTTTATTTTCCCTTCTAAAATTGGAGCGATGGATAAAAATATGGTTGCTATAAACTTGATGATGCAAACATCAGCCTAGATTGTAAGAACACCTAAATAGATAATATTATATGAGAAAAATACAAGAGGAAAAACTTTTTTATTATTGACATTTTGGGAAAAATGCATCCTTCATAAAAATGTTTGCTTATTCTGAAATGGTTAATCCCGTTTATATTTTTCCAAATTTCCATGCCGTTTTAAGCCCCATACTCACACTTCGCTACTTCACTTCGTTCCTTCCTCGCGTCCCTTCGTCAAAAAATCATATATTTACTATGGGAAAATGTCGATTTTATGCGACTGTGTGTTCCTTCCTCCTTCGTCAAAACGCTACTTCGTCCGTTTACTTCCTCGAAACGCTCCTTCCACGTACTGTCGGTTTTTGGAGGAAGTAGCAAAGGAATTATCACGAACACAAAAAAATATTAAAATATATAAATCGATCTTGGATTTCATTCGTAGTTGATTTCTTGATTTGGCAGTACGTCTGTACAGGGTGTCCCATTTTCGTGTGCTTTGCAGGGTTTCTCGTTTATGAGTCGAGATACAAAGGTGCGGTTTTCACATTACCCTGTTACTTTTTTATGAAACTAAAGATGCTACATACATAAATACAGGGCGAATCTGAAATTATTGCATTTTTCGATCCCCTTTGTATCATAACTTATCGAAAAGGTGAAAACGGTCTCCCGTACAGTTTTTCACGTAGAATGCAGTGACGTAACTATTTCTTCGTTGGAATCTGTCTTTTTCTAAAATACTTATTTTCATAAACGGGGTAAAAATGCATTATTTAACTTTATTACATAGTCGACCGGTTTAAATTAGGTAATCAAAACAATCAACTAATTTATTCGACGTAAAATGTTGGTTATTGGCATGTTATTTAAAAGCAGCACAAGTTCAGTTTCCGTGTAGTTTATCAAAATATCACGATGCAAAGCAAAATTATCTGGTAAAATTATGTTAAATAAACGGCTCTTATTTATAAAGAGCCGTTTAGCAGTTTAGCAGTACCTAAATAAATAAATATAGAGTATAGTATAATTTTCGAAAGCTCATAACAAGGCAAATAAAATAAAAATAATATATAGAGTGTCTTATTTAAAAAAAAGAACATAAGTTTGAGTCATTTTTCGAAATAGACAGCTCCCAACGAAGAACCACTTTCGTCACTGCCATTCTACCTGAAAAATGAGACACGGGCGGTGGGTAAGTACTCAATAGGTAGAACAAAACAAAATCAGGGTATCCGGTATATACCTGTACATTTAGATGAACAGTCTAATTTTATAAAAGGTATTTCCAACGACCGCATAGTAAATACCCGGTATAATACAGTAATATCAGGAATAGGAGTATATCTACAATATTTCTTATATATACTGTTATATATATATTTCTTATATATATTGTAGATATTATATATTGATATATTTCTATTCCCGGTATTATAGCGGGTATTTACTATGCGGTCGTCGGAAACTCCTTTTATTAAAATTAGGATGTTCATCTAAATCTACAGGTATATACATATATACCGAGATTTTATTTATCTACAAATTGGGTACTTACCCACCGCCCATCACTGACACTTTTCACCTTTTCGGTAAGTTATAAGATAATCGAGATACAAAGGTTATCGAAATATGCAAAAATTTCTACTAATTAAAAAATAAAAAGTAAAAGAAAGAAATAAGAAATAACTTTGAACTAAGAAGGCTAGGATAAATATGTGTGTAACATATTTAGTTTCATAATAAGTAGAACAATGATGTGAAAACAGCATCTTTATATCTCTGCTCATAAACCCAGAAACCCCATAAAACACACAAAAATGGGACATCCTGTACATCTAGCAATCGCCAGTCCATATAAAAGTAATTCACACACAATAGTCTAAAAAATGGAAGATGCCTTTACAAAAATATCTGAAGAAATGGGGATTGACATCATTAACGTTTAATTAGTATGTCATCTTTCATGGTTTCGATATAAATTATATAATAAACTTTACTCTATTGTTGACTCGCCTTGTACATTCATACTGATATACCTTGTACATGATACTGAAATATTCGGATTTATTAAAAAAAAATATATATTATTAAAATTCAAATTTTATTTTTGACACGACAAAGAATTGCAGTTTTATAAAATAAAAATTATGCGCCTTTCGGATTTTTTAAAAATTTTAAAGGTTACTAGATATTTCGTATTAAACATGTAGCTGCTATATTAAAAATATTTTGTAGTGTGTTGTTGCATAATTGACTAATTTCCAAGCATCGAATGGACGAAGGAAGGAAACGAAGGGACGAAGGAACGCGAGGAAGTAACGCGAGGAAGTAAGGAGAGGAAGGAGCGAAGTGTGAGTATGGGGCTTTAGGAAAAATTAAGAAAAAAATGAAAAATATGGTTGATTTTTTAAAGTCCTAAAAATCAAAAGGTGTCTATGGTAATATCAACTCGATTTCATTCTTTGATAGATGGTTATTGTTAATTTTGATTAATGTTATATTTTTTGTTATTGTTAAAGTCAGAGTTAAAGTATCATATTTTCCGATAACTATCATCATCCTTTCCGTAGCATTGAACTAAATAAATTTTGTGCTTCTTTAACATTTTAAGACAACAAAAAAACATTACGTTAATTAAAATTTTATGACTAACAATATATCAAAGAGTGAATTCGAATTGATATTACCATAGAAACGCTTTTTGATTTTTAGGATTTTAGGAAAAAATTCAACCATATTTTCGTGTTTTTTTTAATTTTCGGCATTTGTTTTAAAAAACGGCATGGAAATTTGGAAAAGTATAAACGGGGTTAACCATTTTAGAACAAGCAAACATTTTTATGAACGATGCATTTTTCTCAAAATGTCAATATTAAAAAAGTTTTTCCTCTTGTAAAGACAATCCGGGGACATATTGTATAATATGTATAACTCATACCAGAAAAGTAAGAAGTTACGATGAGCAATATCAACGTTAAACCCCATACTCATTACTATTATAGTGTTCGTGATATTCCTTTGGATGGTTTGCCCCAACGAAGTAAACTTCCACTGAACCGCCGCACAACCCATCGCATCGATGCATTGGCACATAAAATCGACGCATTGGCGAACCGCCTCAGCGCATAGTGAATATGGGGTTGGTACTCACTATGCATGCATGAACGCATGACGCATCAGTGTATAATGAGTGTGGGACTATACCAAGATAAAATCAAAACACCTTATATTTTATAGGTTTGTTCGAAGTATATAGGAAGGCGAGTTTGATATTCATTTTGAATTGGTATTTAAAAAACGCCGTATATCAATTAAAACCTTGATTTAAGTGACATACATACATATTTATAAGCCTTAAGCTATCCAGATGAACACTTTCCATCGTAAACACCCAAATACTCACATTTTTTTCTAAAATATTATTATAGTATAAAAGCTTTGTTTACATATACAAGGCTGCCACCTATATGTGATTTGTTTGTATAGGAACCTTATTTCAAACATTTTATTGATTACCAGTTTTGACGATAAAGAGAACTACAAGTTAAAAGGTGATGAAAAAATATTTGAAAAATCTGACAGAGGATATAAATATACAAATAAAATTATATAAGGATTCTTGCCACTTAACTGCTTATATAGAAATTTAATTCTACGCTGTGTTTGTCATAATGTGGATCAACCTGCTCTCACTACCGGTTTCGGGGCCCTACTCCATCATCAGGTGAGCTTGGGCAGATCCACAAAATGATAACCACAGCGCAGAGATAGTTAATTCCGACTTGTCGGAAAGTATCGGTTAGATATTAAGTCCCGAACAGGAGAGAGCGGCCTGCGTGCAATGGTAGTACTTTCGTACCACCGGGGCGCAACTATCGATAGTAAAAGGATGGTAAAAGGCTTTTTTTCAAGCCACCATTGCACGCAGGCCGCTATCTCCCGTTCGGGACTTAATATCTAACCGACACTTTCCGACAAGTCGGAATTAACTATCTCTGCGCTGTGGTTGTCATTTTGTGGATCTGCCCAAGCTCACCTGATGATGGAGTAGGGCTCCGAAACCGGTAGTGAGAGCAGGTTGATCCACATTATGACAAACACAGCGTAGAATTAAATTTCTATATAAGCAGTTAAGTGGCAAGAATCCTTATATAATTTTATTATATACCTATACTGCAAGAAATTTGTTTTCTATTTTAAATATACAAAATTATACTAAGTACTCACTACACAACACATATCTGCTTATAAAAAATAAATAATGATCTTTATATAAGGATTATTCTGGTCATATTTGTAGTAGAATAATGTATTTTCTTGGGTATCGTCAAATAATATTTTTTTTTTATTTATAGACGTTTCGGTTTATAATAAAGCATCATTTCAGATACTTTAAAAAATATATGGAAAAAATGACAAAATATGTTATTTTAAAATTATTTTTAGTAGTATGTAATGCATCTTAAAATTTTGATGTATTTTAAAGTTTTATATATTGTATTTTCATGATTTCCAGCTAAATTATTTGACTGTTTGGTATCTCTTTTTAAATTAAAAATAGAACTTCCCATCTGTCTATCATACGAGGGAAAACAAAATGTTGATGTTTTGGTAAAAGCGCAACAACAAAATGTTGTAGTTTTGGTGAAAAATATTCTACAGGGTGTTTTACCTTTCATCTAGTTGCATCTATTCTCGATAGTTTGTTTTTGGATCTCAATAGCTTTTTTTTAGGTATTCGCTTTTGAAGAAGACACACTCATTTTTTCGTAATTTTTACATTAAATCCATGCTTTTGTTTTTGGTCTTAGTTCAAAGTTCAAAGGTTTACGTAATGTCAGGGGGTGGGGTATTAGTAATAATTTTCTTATATGTTTTTG